TGTGTGTGTGTGTGTGTTGGAGAAGGGCTCATTCTGTGTGTAAGTATGTACTGTATGTGTGTATGTATTGGAGAGAGGCGTATTCTGTGTGGGAGTGTGTGTATAAGTATGTACTCTGTGTATGTGTTGGAGAGAGGCTATTTAATAATTTTGTGTGTGTGTATGTACTATGTATGTGTGTTGGAGCCTCTCTTCAAGAGGCTCTAATCATTTTGTGTGTGTATGTGTGTTGGAGAGATTCATTCTGTGAGTGTGTGTATGTAGGTATGTATTGAATATGTGTATGTATTGGAGAGAGGCTGTTTGATATATTTTTTGTGTGGGTTGGACAGAGCTTAGTATTCATTCTCTGTTGTGTTGGATAGAGGCTTATTGCTCTGTGTGTGTGTGTGTGTTGGAGAGAGGTGAACTATATGGTCCTTATCTACTTAAAGCTCACTTTTTAACTCTTCTTCATCCTAATATTAGAACCTGTTATCTCACCAGTATCTGTGTGGATAAGATGAGATAGTCTTTCCTGAGTCCTTTGCAAACTTTGAAGAGATCTTACTACTTATTTATCCTATTTTGCTTGAGGGCAGTGAGCAAATGAAGAACTGGAAAAGTACAACCAAATTCAAGCCTCAAAGACAGAGACTAGAGTTGGGGGCAGAGATAGTCTTAAGTACATAGTCTTTTACTCAAGCCTAGTGAAAATTGGCCCCCAGGGCGCCTCTTGTGCCCCTGTCGGAGTTGATTGTGTGCAGCAGACACACCCCCTTCCACTGGTCAGTATTCCAGGCCTAGTAACGGTAAGAGTGAGTCCTTTTTTATAGTAACAGGAATTACAGGAACAGTGATGCCAAACTAGCTCTGTCAATCTGCTTTTAAGGCACCTGTCATTATAATGCCTTTTTTTTTTTGCATTGCAAAAGAAAAAAAGATATATTTTGAATATTACATTAATACATTCAAAAGGAGAGGGCTAAAGTGCAGAAAAATTAGATAAGAATTGTGAGGTCTTCAAATACAGAAAAAAATCTAGATACATTAAGAAATTGTAAACCATGGAACTAAGCTCTAAAATAAGTGCTAAGAGAGATTGAACATTATCCTTTCCAACTCCCTCAAATCCCACACATAACCAAGGTTTCCAGGTCCTCTCCCCTCCCTCTTAATGATAATAGTGCCTTCCCTCTGAAATTACTTCCCATTTACTCTATATGTATCTTGTATGCACAAGATTGTTTGTATGTTATCTCTCCCATTAGAATCTTATTTACTTGAGGACAGGGAAAATATTTTTGCCTTTCTTGGTGTCCTCTTCACTTAGCATAGTGCCTAACACATAGTAAGCACTTAATGAATGTTTGTTGACTGACTGAGGTTTGCTGAGCTATACCAGATAGCTGAGGTATATCCAGTATTAAGCACAGTAACTAAAACTACTCCTAGACTGTCTCTGTCATTATTGTTAAATGATATACCACCAGATTTGTAGTTGCGAGGTTTTTTGTGATCTTTCTATGAAATGTTATTTTCGTAGAAAAATTTTAATAGTTAGTCATCTATTTGTAGTACTTATTTTTAGTGTTAAGCAAAGTATGTATTTTATTAGTTAATTAGAAACACAGTAATAAAGTACTTACTCTTTGACTAAATTGTTTTGTTGCCAACTTGGATAATGTAGATAGAATTTTATTTTGATGGCACCTAAATGTTTGCTTCATTATCTAGCATCTTATATAGCTTTCCATATTTGCATGCTCTTATTGTCTCTTTAGTTAGTACTGTATGTCAGTAAGGCACTGTATCTTAGGGAAAGTATAATGAAGGGAATTATGTTTCAATAATTAGTATTTTCCCCAAATACTAAAGATTCAAACACACGTTTTCTTTCTCATCACTTAAAGGAAGTAGTTGGTAGAATATGTGAACTTTGAAGAATAAATGCCAGAACAGAATTGGATGAATTTTCATATTTGTCCTGAAGAAAGCAAAGAGACCCTAAAGAAGTGATACTGGATCTTAAGGTCACATTTAGAGTTCAGCTCTTTCATTTTCCAGAGAAGCAAACTAAGACCCAATAAGGTTAAATGACTTGCCTAAGGTCACTTATGTGACAAATGTGGGATTTCAACCTTGGCCCTCTGAGTCCAAATGCAGCATTCTTCCACTGTACCTGAGATTTTGTTTTTGGACAGGGGAGAGTGTACATTTGAAATTTCTTCCTAAATTGTTAAACTCTGCTTTTGCTTAAGTTGTTTCGTGTTGTATTACTTCTGAACCATCCAGAGAAATCATTAACTCTAATAAATTATTTTGACTTAGGCCATATGTGTATCTTTAGTCTTCTGAATGAGAATCACCTGAATCTCTATCAACACTTCTAAAATACTGAGAAATTTTTCTTTAAAAATATGATTACCTACTCGGTACTTTTAAGATGAGATTATAGAAATGAAAACTGAAGAGACTGCTTTAATAGGCAAAGTTTTTTGTTAAAAAGATCTGTAAGTAAGGATTCCTGGGGTACAAAATAAATCATGTAACTCAAATCTCTTTTGGTTGTTCATATTAAACTACTAGCTTTTTGTACTAGTTCTCAGTCTCTATCTCATTTCGTATAGGATAAGGGCAGTAGTATAATTCAGCTGAATTGGAATGATTCCTTGACTAGAGATTGGGACTGGGCAAAGTATATGTGTTGAATGAGAAGAAAAGTCAGATTATAATGCTATAGAAGAAAATTTACAGGCAGATTAGGGTAAGGGCATAGGGAAGTGAACAATATTGGAATGACATCCAGCTGTGAGTTGTTCTCTGTCTTTTGTAGGTGGATGGAATGGCCAACTAACTGTTGGCTTAGTTCTCTTGCTATTGCTATGGGTAGGGAACTTCAGTAACACATAGAAATGCCTAATATGATTTAAAAATCTGTGTCATTTCCTAGTTGTTCCCATTAGGTCACTTCTAAAAATACAGATCTGGAGAGGGAAAGTACAAAGAAGACCATTACATGCTGAGATCCCTTCCATGTTTTTTGTGGGTGTTATATTCTTAGAGACAAGGTGGTTTCCTGTAGTCTCTGGTTGTTGTTTTATTTCCTTGTGGTCACTAGGGTGACTGACCTGTTTATTTTCTGTGCTGATGAACTATCCACTTTTCTACTGGGGTCCTTTGAGGCTCAATTCAGAGCTTTCCTGAAAATCTCTCCTACTCTCCTGTCTTTGAAATAAAGCTTGTTTTAAAAATACATCCTAAAGTTTTTTACTTTTAGGAACTACATGGAAATAAAATAAGAGGGTTAAAATACACAAAAAAAGAAAGTTAACAGATTCTTAATCTAGTAGTTATAGATAACATGAGCTAGGCTTTTTCATTCCTACCAAAAGACTTAGAAGATATTGATTGGAGATAGGATTAGATATTTTACTAATTGTATGACTGAGCAAGTTGCATAATCTCTCTGTCTGCTTTTCCATCTGTAAAATGGGAACAATATTCTTTTATCTAGCTTAAAATTATTGTGAGGAAAATGTTTTGTAAACAAAGCACTATATAAATGTGAGATTATTATTCTCTTTTGTACATTCATCTTTCTTCTTCCTCTTAGTTATATATAGATTAGCCCTCCCTGTTTTTTTTTTTTTAAAGCAGTAGGCTGGTGAACATGATTTTCCATAGATCTCTACTCTACTAATTTCCTTAGGCCCCTTGAAATGGGAGAGTATGCCAATTTAGATTGTAGAAATCTAATTTGATGCATTTGACTTTGTCATACAGCCAAGTTGACTTGTAATGTTTGCTGTTTTTTCAGAATCATCAGAGACTTGCTTGTGTTGGGAATACAGGACATTCAAGTAAAGGATGCAGTCATGCCTAATGAAACCATTATTGTAATTTGTTTATTTAAGAGTAGTTGATCAGGGAAGTTCTCTTGGATCAGTTTGAGTTTAATGGGAGGTGAGCCTTCATACCAGTGATTCTCAAAGTGTGGTTTCTGGACCCCTGGAGGTACCTAAGATCCTTGCAGGGGGTCCATGAGGCAAAAACTAATTTCATAATAATACTAAGATGTTATTTGCCTATTGAAATACTCTTCCTGGGTAGAGCCAAGATGGTGGAGTAAAAGCAGTGACCTGCTTGAGCTCTCCCCCAAACCCCTTGTAAAAATACTTGTAAAAAATGACTCTAAACAAATTCTAGAACAGCAGAACCTACAAAAAGACAGAGTGAAACAAATTTCTAGCCCAAGACAATCTGGATGGTTGATTAGGAAGGGCTGTTGTGCCCAGCTGGAAGAGGAGTGCAGTTCAGCATGGACTATGCAGGTGAAGATGGGGCCTCAGCGAACCTGAAGCAGGCCTCCGGGGACTAAACCAAAGGGAGGTATGGCAGTTTCCAGATTTCTCAACCTACAAATGCCAAAGACAACTTAGAAGGTCAGTAGGAAAAGTCTATGACCTTGGTGAGATAGAAGCTTGGTCCTAGCCCTAGTCCCAGTGCAGCCCCAGGGTGCTGGCTGCTTCCAGAGCTCTTGGCCCACAGACTGAGAGGGAATTGAGTGGCTAATTAGAGGAAGATTGCAGGGATCTCTTTGCTGGTGGGAGGTAGGATTCTCTTGCTTTGCCAATGCTTGGGTCTGCGTCACAGTTCTGGGTGGTGGTCCTGGGGTGAGGAGAGTGCTAGCGTGGTGGAGCTTGGAGCCACAGTGGAAAGAAAATCCTCCTCACAGTTTCAAGGCAGAAAAGAGTGCTCATGGTCACTTATTGACCAGAGCCCAGGCCAGGAACCTTGGAAGAGCTGAAAATT